AAGAAAGGAAGAAAGGAAGGAAGGAAGGAGGGAGGGAAGGAAGGAAGGAAGGAAGGAAGGAAGGAAGGAAGGGAGAGAGAGAGAGATAAGGAAGAAAGAAAGACCAGCTAGGCATGGAGGTGCATGCTTGTGATCCCAGTGCTGGGGAAATGGAGACAGACAGGCTGCTGGGGCTCTCTGGCCAGCCAGCCTAGCCTACTTGGCAAGTTCCAAACTGGTGAGAGACCTTTTGACAAAAGAAACCAAGATGGAGCTGGGGAGAAGAGAACCTGAGTTCAATCCCAGCACCCATAAAAAAGCCAGGTTTAATGGTACATTCCTGTAATTCCAGAACTGGGAGGCAGAGGGGATCGCAGGGGCTGGGTAGCCAATCAGTGAGCTCCAGGTTCATTGAGCAACCCTGACTCAAAAAACAAGTTGGAAGAGTCTGGAGGGATGGCTCAGTGGTTAAGAACACTGGCTGCTCTTGTAGAGGACCAGGGTTCAATTCCCAGCACCCACATGGCAGCTAACAACTGTCCTAATTCCAGTTCTAGGGGAATCTGATGCCCTCTTCTGACCTCCATGGGCATTGCACAACATGGGTGCACTTACACACATGCAGGCAATGCACTCATACACATAAAATAAAAAATAACAAAAAAAAAATAAGCTGGGCGTGGTGGCGCATGCCTTTACTCCCAGCACTTGGGAGGCAGAGGCAAGCGGATCTCTACGGTGAGATCAAGGTCAGCCGGGTCTATATATGGAGTTCCAGAGTAGCTGGAGCTATAGGGAGACCATATCTCAAAAAACAAACAAAATAAGGTGGAGAGCAATTGAGGAAGACACCACCACCACCACCACCACCAACAACAACAACAATAACAACAAAACTTCAATTAGCACAAGCTGCATCAGCCATACCTGGGCTGTACATGGTAGTCAGCCATCTCTAGGATCCATGTTGAACACTGTCTTTGGTAGTGCTGGGAATGGAACCCAGGGCCACATGTATGTGCATGCTAGGCGAGTACTCTATCAAATGAACTACATCCCCAGCCCCCAAGTGCTTTTTTTTTTGGACAAGGTCTCCTTTGTAGCCCCTGCTGACCTGGAGCTCACTGTGTAGACCAGGCTGTCCTTGAACTTACAGAGATCCACCTGTCTCTGCCTCCCAAGTTCTGGGAATAAAATCGTGTGCCACCACTCCCGGCTCCAAGTGCTTTTTTAAAAAGTAATTTAAACAACCATATTTTAAGATTTATTTGTGTGTGTGTGTGTGTGTGTGTATGTGTGCGCACACACGTGCCTACATGAGTTTATGTGTACCACCCGAGTGCAGGTACCCTTAGAGGAGTTACAAAGGGGTTGTGAGCTGCCTGATGAGGGTGCTGGGAACTGAACCTAGAGAACAGACAGTTCTCTTAATTGCTGAGCCATCTCTCCAGCACCACCAAAAACCATACCAGACTCAGGACTAGAGAGATGGCTCAGCAGTTAAGAGCACTGGCTGCTATTGCAGAAAACCCAGGGCCTCCGAGGGCATGGCACACATGTGGTGCACTTACATAAATGCAGGCAAAACACTCATACACATGAAAATAAAAATTTTTAAGCTTTTTAAAAGTTTAAAAAATGGGGGCTAGGAGATGACTCAGCAGTTAAGAGCTCTGGCTGCTCTTGAAGAGAACCCAGGTTCTATTCCCAGCACCCACAGGGTGGTTAACAACCATCTGTGCCTCCAGTTCCAGGGGATTCAGTGCTTTCTTCTGACCTCCTTGGGCATTGCACGACACAGGTGCACTTATATATATGCAGACAATACATATACATAAAATAAAAATAATATAAAATATTTTTTAAGTTTAAAAAATGTACCAGACTGACTTCTCTACCACAGAAATTAAATGAAAGTTTGCTCAAGGAGGTTGGTGATTGGGGCTGATTGTGCAAGAAATGTCCAGTCTATTTGACAAACCCCAGGCCACTGAGAGACCCTGTCTCAAAAACCAAGGTGAATGGTGCCCAAGGAATAACATCTGAGGCTGACCTCTGACCTCCACATGCATGTGCACAGGTGCACTCGAATACACACACACATACATAAATCCACTGTAGCTAGGCCTGTTGGCGCAGGCCTGTCACGGCAGCTACTCAGGAGGTTGAGACAGGAGCATCAAGAGTTCAAGGTTAGAGTGGGCTGCAAAGGGAGCTCAAGCGCAGCCTGGTGACTTAATAAGACACTGTCTTGGATGCTATCCCCAGTATTGCGGGGGGAAAAAGACCCTGTGGGCACAGGCTGGAATCAGACTAGATGCAGTAGAGTCATCACCAACCAACTGGGGCTGGAGCCAGTGGAAAGGGTCAGGCTGGTGACATCCCAGTGGCAAGAGCAGGCGAAGGCAACAAGGCCACGGTCAAAGAAGGCCTCTGGCAGGACTAGGGCAGGCTGAGCCCAGAGGAAGTGCGACTGCCCCCCCCAGGGGGGGCAGGGCGCCTGGATCTAAAGTCAGGTCCTGGATACCCCGGATGTGAAATCACCCCACCCAGCCCATGGGGTGGTGTTGGCTGTCTCCCCAGTGTGGAGCCAGGGGCCCCAGCTGACCTCAAAGTGAGTCACCATGGCTGGCCCGGCTTATTCAGTAGAGCTGGGGGAGTGAGGCCGGGACCATCCACAGACTAGAGCGGCCAGCCAAGTTCCCAACTGTCCACTGTCTGGAGGGGCCAGCCAAGGCCATCATCCCAGAAGGGCTGAGCCCCACCTGCTGGCTTCCAGCCACAACAGGCCTCTATCTTCATAGCCTGGTTAGAGCCCCAACCTCCAGGACATAGTTTCGGGGAAGGGGGGGGGTCCCCCTTGTGAAGGCTGGAGACTCACAGAAAGGGCTCAGAGCTGTGGAAAGGAATCAAGGAACAAATGAAAAAAATGAACTTATGAATTTACCGATGAAAAAACAATGTCTGAACAAGTGAGCGAAGAGAGAGAACAGTTCACCAGGCATGATGCTGGGAAGGTCCTCAAGGTGTTATTCCCTCAGGCAAACAGACTGTCCACCATGGCCAGCGAGGGGCAGAGGCCAGGCTGAAACAGAGATGGGTTCTCCCTCCCAGGTCTCACCTGCATCTGTGAGAAATTTGACCAGTGGTACCAGCCAACCTCTTCCCTCTCCAGACTCAGCCCAGCCTTCTACTGAGCAACAAGGTAGCTTTGTGTCTGGATAAGAAAATCATGTCAGCCAACCCCCCAGGACACCTCTGGCAGAGAGGGACTTGGTCAACATGAACCCCCCCGCCATTTTGCACCAGTAACATTGAAATGAGAGTGTTTAGCCAGGCATGGAGGTACAGGCCTGCATGTGATTCCTGTACTCAAGAAGCCGAGGCAGGTAGATCGCCATGAACTTGAAGCCAGCCTGGCTGCCAAAGTGGGACCCCGTCTCAAAATGAATGAATAAGCATAAAAGAACACTTCGGTTTGAACATGTGGAGTTAGAGAAAGTAGAAGGACCTTGGGAGTTCCTATCTAATATATTAGATTTCACGGCAAGAAGACCATCCTTTTTATAAGGAGGCGGTGGTGAGAGCTCTGCTGTGCTGTGCTGGGCATGCAGATAACTTGCTATTTTAACTTTTTTTTTTGAGACAGGATCTTACTATGTAGCCCTGGCCAGCCTGAAACTCACTATGTAGACCAGGCTGGCCTCAAAGGCATAGATATTTACCTGCCTCTGCCTCCCAAGTGCTAGGATTAAAGGTTTGTGCCACTATGTCTGGAAGCCATTTTAATTTTTTTATTTACTTGTTTTTGCACTGTGGGAAATTGAACTCAGGGTTTTGTACATGCTAGGCAGGTGCTCTACCACCAAGCCATACCCCAGCCCCTCACTGGGGGATTCTAGGCAGGTGCTCTACCACTAAGCTATGTTCCCAGTCTTTTTATTTTTTGCTATTTTATTATTTCTTTATTACTATTTTTAAGAAATTACAAGTACTCTTTTTAAAAAATATTTTATTTTTATTTTTATGTGTATGAGTGTATTGTTTGCATGTGTATAAGTGCACCCATGTTGTGCAATGCCCATGGAGTCAGAAAAGGACTTTGGATTCCCCTGAAACTGGAGTTACAGACAGCTGTTAGCTGCCATGCGAGTGCTGGGAATTGAACCTGAGTCCTCTGTAAGAGCAGACGGTGCTCTTAACTGCTGGGTCATCGCTCCATCCCCAAGCATTCTTTTATTTAAAGATTTATTTAAACAAATTTTCATGTGTCTGTTTGGTTGCACATCTATAAGTGTGCCATCTGTGCACCTGATGCTAGAGGAGGCCAGAAGAGGGCGTTGGAATCCCTAGAACTGGAGTTAACAGGTGTTTGTGACCTGCCGTGCAGTGGTCAGAGCCAAACCCAGGTCCTCTGCAAGAACAGCCAGTGCTCTTAATTAAATTATTGAGTCATCTCTTTAGCCCCAGCTCTTTATTTTGAGACAAGGTGTCATTAAGTTGCCTAGACTAGCCTTGAGTTATCATCCTCCTGTCTCAGCACCCTGTGTGGTTGAGATTTACAAGTCTATGCCTCCAGGTTCAGCTTTAACCTCCTCTCTCTCTCTCTCTCTCTCTCTCACTCTTGCTCTCTCTCTCCCCCCCACCCCCCGTATTCACGTGTGCCATGACACACATGTGTAGGTCAGAGGACAATCTCAGATGTTAGATTTCTCCGTCTACTTTGTTTTGAGACAGTGTCTCTGTTGTTAGCAGCTCCACACTCCAGGCTAGCTAGCCTGTGAGCTTTCACATCTGTCTCGTCCTCCCATGTCCCCGTAAGAGCACTGGCATTATAGACGGGACTACCCTGGTCTGGCTTTACGTGTGTTCTGGAGATCTGAACACGGGTCTCCACCTATTCAACCAACACTTTAGTCACTGAACCATCTCCCAAGCCCAGTGTTACCCGTGTGAAAATGTCACAACGTGTAAGAAAAACCCCGTTATCTACAAAAGATTTCAGACAAGAGACCTCCCAGGCCAGGACAGGCTTCTTCATTGCACATTTAATAGTTCATGCAGCATTTGGCAACATAAATAGGGGCAGGTTGAGTGGGTCCACAGAATCCACAGACAGTCCACAGCACAAGCAGGACAGGGTATGGCCAGGGCCACATGGGGAGGAGCTGATGGCCAGCTGAGAGGGTCACCTCCCTGGATGTGCACAACAGGAGCAAGATAGGGTAGGTCTCATTGTTTCATTACATGCTGGTCACCCAGGGGATGCTGAGCAGTTATGGACACTTACGTGTCTCCTCAGGCCTGGCTGGCTCCTATCACATTGCACTCGAGACAGGGTAGTGATGGTTCAGGGGCCCAGGTTGGCTTCAGTTGCATTTGTTCCTCATGTCAGGGAGTGGAGACTCAGGTGAGGGACACTTGGGCTTCCAGGGCAGGGACTTGGACTTTACACACCGAGTCTGGGGAAGGGCTCAGTGCCTAAAGCTTTAATCAGCAAGTATCAGAGTTCCTTGCTGTCCCTTTGGGAATCCAATAGGCTAGAAGAGCTGTGGCTCCCAGCCTCCGGGAATTGGGGACTCAGCCTAGGCTCATCGTGCTTGGAAAACCGTGGAGTCAGCCAGACTTCCTGTCCTATCTGGGCATCTGGCCAGTGAGGGGCCACAAACTCTGCCAACTACCCTGGCAAGATATCAGGGTGCCCGGCCCACCAGGAAACAGGCTTTCTAAAAGCTGTGAGGGTGAGTAACTGGGCTCAGTCACCACTTTCCAACTTGCTAGCCAATGCCAGTTCCCCAAGCCAGGGGGCTGGGATCTACTCAGGGCTCCTGGGAATCATTCGCATTGTTGGGGGCAGGCAGGGGCCAAGAATGTTTTTCCTCCATTTGGAGACACTCCTGTTTGACACAAGCTGACCCACACCTGGGTCTAGTTCTGGGAATCTGACAGGGACCAGGGACAGTGTCTGATGACTTGAGGGAGAGTTACAAGGGTGGCCGTGGTCCTCCTGGTGATACCTGGCAGGAGCCAGGGCCAGTTTGGGGGTGGAGACCTGACAAGAGTCTCTAGAAAACTTGGAGAGAGAATAGGGTGGCCCCATGATAAAGCTGCAGGGCCACTGGAGGAGGAGGCATGAGGGGAACTGGTTGTCACTTCCCTGGCCTGGAAGGCAGCTGTTGCTTGCCCTTTGCTTTTAAAATGCACAAGGTGGTTATTTATTCCAGAAAGTAAGTCCAGAGGAGTGGGAAGCCCAGTGCCAGGCACCAGCCCTACCTGGCCACTCACTGAGTGGCTCCCAGGCCCTGGGCATGGGGAGCAGGTTGCAGAGCCACATGGGAGCTCCTGTGGGTTCAGGTGTTGGATGCAGGCTCAGGCATGGATTCAGGCTCAGACGGTGAGGGAGATGAAGCTGTTGTAACGCTGGATGTTTCTCTTCAGGATCTCGGAGCAGGGGCCCAGGACACGCTCGAAGCGGGGCCGGTCCAACTTCACACACTTGAGTGGACCCCTGGCCACTACGGTAGCTGCACGCGGCCGGTTCAGCAGCAGCGCAATCTCACCTGGAGGGAAGAGACAAGGTCAGGGTTGGACAGTGGCTGCTGAACTCAGGATATAGGATGGCCTTCTCTGACATTGGGAGACCAGGAAAGCCTGCAGTTCTTTTCCTTCTTCCCTCCTTCCTCTCTTCCTCCCTCTCTTCTTCCCTAACTCTCTTTCTTTTTCTTTCTTTCTTTCTCTCTCTCTCTCTCTCTCTCTCTCTCTCTCTCTCTCTCTCTTTCTTTTCTTATTTTTTGAGAAAGTGTCTCATGTAGCCCAGGCTGACCTGGAACTCTCTATGTAGCCAAAGATGACCTTGAACATCTGATCCTCCTGCCTCTTCTTGAGTGCTGGGATTACAGACTGATGGGAATGGAACTCAAAAATCCTCAGCCTTGGACTTGAATTTCAAATGCACATTTGTGTGTAGGTGTGCAGGCATGCATGTGTATGTATCTTGTATATGTACCTGTTTATATGTATCTCTGTATATGTTGTATGTATGTATCTGTGTATATACATGTATTTGTGTGTTGTATGTATCTGTGTGTGGTGTATGTATTTGTCTATATGTATATGTACATTGTGTGTATGTAACTGTGTGTTGTGTATCTGTGTGTATTGCATATGTATATATGTGTGCATTTATTTGTGCGTTGTATGTATCTGTGTATGTGTTCTTTGTATATGTATCTTTGTGTGAGTATGTATCTCTGTATGTGTATGTATCTCTGTGTATATCCTGGGGATTGAGTAGTTAGGACATGTATGTTAGGCAAACATTCTACCACTGAGCTACAGCCCCAGCACTTTTAAAGAGCAATTTTTTTTTTTTTTTTTTTTTTGGTATTTTTGAGACAGCATCTCCCTGCAGCCCCAGCTGGCCTGGAACTCACTATGTAGACCAGGCTGGCCTTGAACTCACAGAGATCCGGCTGTCTCTGCCTCCCAAGTGCTGAGACTACAGGCGTGCGCCACCATGCCCAGCAAGAACAATTATTTTTAAATTGAACTTGCTGCCCTCCTGCCTCAGTCTCCCTGGTAGCTGGAATGACAAGTCTGCACAAACAAATGTTTTTCTAGTGCAAATATGTCCTGTGACATAGTTGGAATATTTTTGTATAAACTAACAAGTTAGGGGCTGGGGCTGGGGCTGGAACGCAGTTGGTAGAATGCCTGCTTAACATGTACTGAGCCCTGGGTTCTATACCCAGCACCATATAAAATAGCATGGTGGTGCACGCCTGGAATGCCAGCACTTGAGAGGTAGAGGCAGGAGGATGGAAATTCAAGGTTATCCTCAACTACATAGCAGTTTGAAGCCAGCCTGGGTTACATGAGACCCTGTCTCAATGTCTCCTCCCCCTGAAAAGAGTATTTGCTGTTTATCTGAAATTTAAGTTCTAGCAGTTTGTCTAGCAGCCCCACAAGCAGTGAGCATGGTGACATGTGCTAGGCCTTCCATGACCATCTGTGGAGACCCCTACAGCCCTTGGCATCCCTCAGGACTCCCTTCCCTGGTAGCCACAGAATATGAGTAGCTGGTGGTCTCTCTGTCCCTCACCCAGACCCTGCTTCCCTGAGACCAACAGCTGACCTCCAGGACTGTCATTCTGGGGTCATAAGCCAACCCTAGCTCTCCATTTGAGGTGACGTCAGGTGAGGCCTCTGTCACAGCTGCAGCGTGGCTTATCCTAACCCCCAGGACCACCCCAAGGCCTCAGGAAACTCATACATAGCACCGGACCCAGGGCCCCAAATGAAATGCTACAACCCAAGCAGGGGAACCCAACTCACCAAAGTAGTCAGAGGGTCCAAGGCGCCCCACTTCCACGTACTCCTCATTGAGGGACCTGCGCTGGAGGACCGAGGCTGTGCCCTGTGGGGGAGTGATCACTTGTCAAAGTGCCCAGTGTGATCACTTGTCAGAGGAACATGTTGGGGTTCACTTGTTGGGGCGATTCACATGTTGGGGTCACTTGCTTTGACAGGCATGTGTTAGGAGTCATTTGTTGGGGTATGTCACATGTCAGGGTTCACTTGGAGTGGTCACATGGGGGAGGCTGCAGTGGAAGCCACCACCTGTTTTCCCCTCCTGCCTGGCTTCTTTCCATCATATGGCCATCGTCACTTCCATCCCTAACTCCTCCAACTTTTCCCTCCTCTTCCTGCGTGCACCTTGGGGCAGGCAGATTCCCATGAGATCTGAGTTTCTGGGGGCTATGGCTTGGCTGATTTGCCCTCTAGACACCCTGAGTCCTGTCTTGTTGGAAGTCTGTTCTCACCAACACACACCCAGCACCTCTCTTGAGCCTGTATTGCCATTATGGGGCTGTCCCCAGGGGTCAGCACTGTGTCACTGTGCTGGGAGCTGACCTTGGATTGTGGCTCAAGGTCAGGGAGCTGTCCTGCCACATGGGGGAGGGGGCCTCCCAGGAGGCAGGGAGGAGCATGATTTCAGGGTCACACACCTGCTGAGCTATGTGGCCCCTCCTGACTCCCCAAGGGGCAGCAGGTCTGCAGACAGCAGCTGGTTCAATGATTAACAGAGTAGCTGTGGCAGGTCGTGGGCCACTGGGAATGCAGAGCACATTAAAGACAGCTAGAGCACTGGGGTGGTATCACGCGCCCCAATACTTGGGGTAGGTACCATACAGCTAGACCACTAGACTTCAGCCCCCTCTGGGCAAATCCTTCCTTTCTGAACCAGTATCCCAGCCTGTGACCTTCAGGGGCTTGGGAAGGTAGACAGAGTTTTTGACATCACCAGTAACTTCCAGTAAGAATAGCAGAACTCAGCCAGGTGTGGTAATCCCAGCACCTGGAGAAATGGAGGCAGGAGTGAGTTTGAGGCCAGCCTGGGCTATATAGCCAGACCATCTCAAAACAAACACACACTACCCCCCCCCAAAAAAAAGCAGGGAAAAGGGGTGGCAAGCTGGTTCGGTGGAAAGGTGCTGCCACCAAGCCTGACAAGCTGGGTTAATGCCTGAAATCTACACAGCGGAAGGAGGGAACCAACTCAAGTTGTCTTCTGACATCCACAAAATAAATCTTTTACTTTTTCTTTTTAAAGGAATTAAAGGAAATCCATGGGCTGGAGAGATGGCTCAGCAGTTAAGAGCACTGGCTGCTCTTACAGAGACCCAGGCTCAGTTCCCTGCACCACATGGTGACTAACAATCACTTGTAACACCAGTTCCAGGGGATCCGACGCCCTCTTCTGGCCTCCGCAGGCACTGCACACATGGTGCACCTATATACATGTAGGCAGAACACTTGTACACTTAAAAAAATTGAAAAAAACAACAGTTTCCTATTTAAAAGAAAAAGAAATTCATTTGGGTGGGAGAAATTGCTCAGTGGTTAAGAGTACTTGCTGCTCATCCAGAGGACCTGAGTTTGGATCCCAGCACCCACACTGGGTAGTTCATAACCCATAACTCCAGTTATGGGAGATATGACACCCTCTTCTGGCCTCCATAATCACCTGCACACATCAGGCAGACACAGACACACAAATTAAAAAAACAAAATTGAATCTTAAAGTGAAAAAACAGGATATAAAAAGATGTGGTGGTGCACACCTATGATCTCAGCACCAGGAATTAATGCAGGTACCTCTGGTACCTAGTGGGTTCAAGACCAGTCTGGGCTACATGAGCCCCTGTCCCAAAACAACAAAAACAAAAACAAAAAAAAACCCAGCCAGACATAGTGGCATATGCCTTTGATCCCAGCCAGCACTTAGGAAGCAGAGGCAAGCAGATCTTTGTGAGAGCAAGGCCAGCTTGATCTTCTACATAGCAAGTTCCAGGCCAGCTGGGGCTACAGGGAGACCCTGTATCAAAACAAACAAACAAGAAACAACAAAAAATCCAAAAAAACCACAAAGCAAAACAGCAGTGTGGCCACAAGTGTGTGGCCTACCTCTGAGGCCCCTGAGTTTTTCTCTGAATTTCCACAGACTCTGATCAGCCTCCCTGAGACAGAGACCTGCCTGAAGACCACTGAGTCTCATTTAACACCCACAGAGACTGAGGACCCAGGATGCTGAGGCTCCTGCAGCCTGGCCCCCTCCAGGCTCTAGAGTGGGTCTTTCTCAGGTCCCCAGAGTCACCCACTTATGCACAGAGGGTCAGGCAGCCCCCAGAGGCACTCAATAGGCATGAAGAAACGCTCCAGGGCAAGGTGGGGTCTATTACCCAGACTCAGCCTTGCCACTGCCTATAGCATGCCCGGTTTAAGTGACTCCCACGGCCCACAGTCTGGGAGGCACAGGTCAGCAGCTGGTGCCCGCCGTGCCTGGAGTCCCCTGGCACCCTCTGCAGCCCCCGCAGCTGGATCTCCCGTCTGGCTCCCCTTGGCCCGGAGGCTACTCGGCTCGCAGGCAGAGCTCTACGTGTTTATGAATCTGGCTGATGGATGGAGCAGCACATGTAAACACGAGATCACTCCAGTGGTCGCCGGTGTGGGCAGAGAGGGAGGGCAGGGTGCGCATGCTCCCCAGGGGCCTCAGGAGAGGCCAATCAGCCCCACCTGTCAGGACATTGCACAGTGCTGGGCCTTTCTGCCTCCCATGGTAGAGCTTTACATTGGGGCTCAGGTCTTTAAATCATAGTTGCTCTGTGCCTGGGGGTGACTGTGTCACTTGCTGATACCCTACTGGTTCTCTTCAACCCTCATCCTCTACCTACCCTAGCGTCTCCCCAGCATCTCCTCCTATCTGAAGGCTCCTGCATCTCTGCTTTGCTCCTTTTGTCTTCTGGAACTCAGCTTCATGATTCTTTTGTGGCTTGGCCTTGCTGTCCACACTTGTAATTCTACTGTCTCTCTTGCTCCCACCCCCTCTCCCCATTGTATGCTAACCCCAGGAAGGCAGGGGCATGCTTTCTGTATTCCCAGCCCCAGAGGGATGCTGAGCACAGTCTCTGATTCTGTTTGTTGAGTCTTTGCCATGTGGAGGCTTCATGTACATTTTTGTTCCCTTCAGCATCTCACTTGGGAGCGTCTGTAATCATTCCAGCTTCAGAGATGAGGAAACTGACTTTTTTTTTTTTTTTTTTTATGTGTAGCATGTGGTGACTCCTAGAGCTGTGGCTGCCTTTGTATCATCATGAAGCACCTGATACTGAGGTCCCAGGGCAGGAGGCAAAAACAAGTCTTGGTCCCTAAGTCCTCCGTTTGTCTGAAGTTGGTGTCTGTCTGTCTGTCTCTCTCTCTCTGTGCGTGTGTGCGTGTGTGTGTGGTTGAACTTGAGATCCCCTTGCCTCTGTCTCCTGAATGCTGACAAAGGAGCTGTTGAGATGGCTTAGTGGGTTAAGGCACTTGCCAAGAACCCTGACATCCTCAGTTAGAGCCACAGGACCCACATGGTGGAAGGAAAGAACTGAATATTGGGATGACAGGTATATGCTACCTGGTATATGCCAGGTTCCCCACGCCAATCTAAATTCGTCCCAGGTTTGTGTATGTTGGGGGGCCCACATGTGTGGATTATATGTGTATGTGTGTGCAGGTGTGTGCAGCGGTCAGAGATCAACCTCAGGAGCCAGCTACCTTGTTTTTTGAGACAGGGTCTCTCATTGGCCTAGGGCTGGGTGGCTAAAGCGAGGCTGGCTAGTTAGTACACCCTAGGAATCCTCCTGTCTCTGCCTCTCTGGTGCTGGAACTGCAAGTGCGGGCACTCCACCCAGTTTTTTTACATGGATGCTAGGGATTGAACTCGGGTCTTCATGCTTGTGTGGCATGCACTTTGTCTGCTACTAAGTGGTCTCCCTGTAACCCCAGCTGGCCTTGAACTCACAGACATCCACCTGCCTCTGCCTCCTGAGTGCTGGGATTAAAAGGCATATGCCACTACACCTGGCCCATCCTTCCTTCTATGCACAGCATGGGCTTCCCAGCTCACTGTGGGCAGGTGGGTTGGCTGAAGCACCCATGCTCAGGACCCCAGACCCTAGAGAATAGAAAGACACTTCCTTGTTCTTCCTGAGAGTTACTGTAGGGCTCCCTGTTAAAGCAGCACCTCTGCTGCACTGACCTATACACTATCCAGAGCACGGTTGTCACCACCCCACCCCAGAGCCTCATCAGCAAGAAGAACACTCCTGCTACATGCTCTCAGATCCACTGCAGAAGCTCCAGAGATATTGAAGGTCCCTGGGAAAAAACCTCTACGATTCAAGGCACGTGTCCCTAGTTGCCATGGAGATGGCCAGACACCCTGAAGGACCTGTCTGGAACTCGGGGCTGGAAAACACCCCAGCCATGGTGCTGGCTCATGTTCTCCAAGTTCCTCACAGAAGGTTCCAGCTCAGCAAAGACGTGCAGACAGCCTAGAGGTGACATGGCAAAGTGTCACTCCTGGGTGCCTGTGACGGGTGTGGTTACAGACAACAGATTTCCTTTTAACTGTTGTGACTTTAATTTTTTTTTCTCCTACGACATTAAAAAGGAAGTATTGAGTTTCCTAAGAAGGAAGCCAATGAGGGTACGGGAGACCCAATCTTCCCCCTTTCCAGTCACTGCAACCCTGGCTGGCCCAAGGGTTCTGGGTTCCCAGGATCTTCATGTGAGTTATTCTGTAGTTCATCCTTGTAACAAAATTCCTGAGAAATTACTTAAAGGAGGGGAGGCTTATTTTGGCCAGGGTTTCAAAGGTTTGTGGTCAGTTGGCTTTGTTTTTAGGATAGTGAGGAAGGAAAGCATCATGGCAGAGGTAGTGTGTGGAGGAGGAGGCTCATCTCACAGCAGCCAGGAAACAGAGAGGAGAGGGGAAAGAGTGAGAAAAGAGGAGAGAGAGAAAAGGGAGAGGAGAAAGAAGAGAGGAGAGGAAAGAGAGGAAAAAAAGAGAAAGAAATGAAGGAGAGAGAGATG